TCCCTTGAGAGTCCTAGGAAAAAAAATGAGGCCTCTTTCTCATCTCTCCTCCAGGTGAGAAGATTCTGCCCAACTTTACTTTTGGTAAAAAACAATAGTCCTCTTTGTTCTTTTCCAAATATGAAATCATAGCATTGAATGTGCTCTTTCACTGGCACAGGGAAGATTCGGGTGTGCAGCTGCACTGTAGAAATCCGATGCTCTAAGCACAAACCCAAAGGGCATAGCCTGGAGAAGAGAGTCCCTGACACCCCCCCAACCACACACACACACACACACACACACACACACACACACACACTCACTCACTCCATGACTCTCTTGGCCACAACATGCTGGAAGTGCCCACTACTGACTCTCTAGATTGGGCCTTAATCTTCTGTATCCCCAATGAATATACCAAATGACCACCTAGAGAACACCTAGCTGAGTTTACAGCTCCACTTTCTCGGCTACCGAACTTCTGTCCCTCTATGCTTCATCCCTAGCATAATCCAGCCAAGGCCGACACTTTCGGGGAGGTGGAGACTTGGCGGCACTCAGGACAAGGAGGCACGGAAACTGCAAAACGAAAGGCTTTTATTGAAGAATATCAAGTGGCCTTTTTCAAGGCTGCAGGTCCCTTGCCCAAGGCCGGCTTTGGGGCCGCGGCCCGACGGGGAGGGCAAGTAGGTGGCCACTCTACTCCAAGTTTCAGAGGGGGAGGTTTTATTGTCTATGCGGGCTGGTTCCCGGCTGGGGTCCGCTGTTCCTCTCCTTGCCCACGAAGGGGTGGCAGCTGGGGAAGGGGGTGGCAGCTGGGGAAGGGGTTACCAGGCTGGCCCCTCCTAGTCCAGTGCGAGGGCTGCCTGACATCTGGGGCGGGCTGGTCTCCGATGCAAGGCGGCACGCAGGACTGGTGGGCACTTCAGCGCGTAGGGGTGGTGGGGTCTGCGTGCTGTTGCCGCTCAGACATAGTCCTTGCGGTCGTAGGCTGTGCTGGTGCCCGTGCCGGGCCCGGCAGAGCGCGGTGCGGAGTAAAGGATCTTGGCGGGCGCATATTTCTTCTCCCGAGGCGGGCACGAGCAGCAGAGCAGCGCACCCCCTAGCAGCTGCAGCGCCGCGGCCGCCCACCCCACGTACAGGCCGGCGCCTATCTCGCGCTTCTGGGCATCTGGCACCAGGGGGTTGTAGAAATCCTGGACGATGGTGTTGGCCGACCAGGACACCGGCACGAGGGTGAGCAGGGCGGCCAGCAGGAAGAGCACGCCCGCCACGATGGTGATCTTGGCCTTAGCAGTGTCGTCCTGCACGCAGTTGGTGCACTGGGCGCCCACGAGCGCCACGAGGAGCCCAAAGGCAGCCAGCAGGATGGCGACGATGATGAGGGCACGGGCCGCCTGCAGGTCCTGCGGCAGCGCCAGCAACGAATCGTATACCTTGCACTGCATCTGGCCAGTGCTCTGCACCACACAGTTCATCCACAGACCTTCCCAGGTGACCTGTGCCGTGATGATACTGCTGCCAATGAAGGCCGTCACACGCCACATGGGCAGCGCGCAGCACAGGATAGTGCCCAGCCAGCCCAGCACGGCCAGCGTTGTGCCAGCGATCTCCAGACCCATGGACATGGCTGCCGCGCCAAAGCCGGCTCTGCCGGGCAGCTCTGGGTGCGGGGAGGATGAGGGGCCGCGGCCGCTGGGCCTGGGCGGGAGCTGCGGCGAGCGGACGGATGGACGCCCGGACCGAAAGATGGACGCACCGTGCTTGCTAACGGCTCCGCTCTGTCAGCTCGCGCCGTGGCTGCGTCTGCACCTGCCTGCGGCTTTGTGGGCGGGCGGCGGGGACTGAGCTGGCCCTGGGTTGGGGCGGGTTGGCCTTAGATCAGTGCTCAGCGCTCCCGCAGGGGCGGGAGGGGCGGAGCCGCGTTCTCCCTGGCCTGGGGACAGTGACGTGGCCCCTCTTCCCACCTTTACCGAGCGCCCTGGAAGGAAGAAATCCGCCAGGCGTGGCGCACAGCGCAGTGGTGGGGTGGGGATGCTAAGAGAGGGCGGAGCCCGGGTCAAGTCACCTCCCCTCGCTACTTGTCCTCCACGGCTCTGAAACTAATTCCCCGGGGCCGGTGGGGGATGGGGTGCCAGTCGCAATCTGTTTGACAGTCCTCCCAACCTCTGCATTTCCGGCACTTTTGGCACTGTCGGCGCGGGGGAAGGGACACTACCAGCTGCCGGGTATCGGGGGGTAACAGGAAGGATCAGGGTGGGCGTGGCCGTGGTTGTTTTCTCTGCTGGGCGACTGCCCCAGGACCTGCGCACCTGCTCCTCCGTCCCTCGGCTTCTGAGGCAAAACTTGCCGCGCCGGATCCTGGCCTGATTCAGGCCCATGGGGTTGCCAGACTCGGAGGTCTGGCCTCAGCAGCCAGGACTGCCTGCAAAGGCACCAGGAAGATGCCCCTGACCCGGTGCTGAGCTCAAATTCTCCTCCAGGCCCTCTGCAGCTTCCTCAGTAATTATCCCTCGCAGTGACTCTGTGTCCTTTTAGCTGAGCTGCTTTCCCATCCCAGAAGTCTCCCTCCTCCTGATTGAGGACCTCCCTAACCCTAACCCTAACCCTAACCCTAACCCTAACCCTAACCCTAACCCTGTCTTCCCTCCCTCTGGGCCCCGAGTCAGTGATGGGATCCACCTTAATGAAATGGTGGTGAAAGAGATATGACCCAGGCAAAAGTCAGAGACGTCACCTGCTTCCACACCTGCGCTATCCCTTACCCTGCTTAGAGACCTTAAGGGTTGGCCTTGGAGGTTCTGCCTGGTCTGTCCCGAGCCCCCCTCCCCCATCTCCTCTCTTTGTCTCACTCTAGAGCTTGGATCTCCTGGCTATTCCTCCAGTATGTACGTGCTCCCACTTCATGTCCCCTATGTTTGCATAATGGGACATTTGCAGATATCCACGTGGCTCACTTCTACCTTTTAGGTTTTTGCTCTCAGCAAGGCCTTCTCTGACCACACTTTAAAATTACAACTATTCACCCTACAGTGCCCTGTCCTCTTTTCTTACTTTACATTCTCCTTAGCATTTAACACCACCTGCCATACTCTATATTTCTCTTACTTATTTTTAATTCTCTCTCTCTCTGCTCCAGTATGTCATCTCCACTGGGACAGCCAGAATATCTCCAAACGGACAAGGATTTCTGATGGTTTTTATTCAGTGTGGCATCTACAGTGCCTAGAACAGTGCTGAGTACTCAAGAGAAAGTTGTTTCACGACTTGAATGAAGGAAGGGCATCACTTTCTTGTGTTCTTGCAATCCCGCCTATCTGGGCCCCTCTCCCAGCATAAATGACTGTTAATGGGACAATACTTTGTTACTTGAATCAGAGGGCTTTGTAATCTAGTGGGAACCAAGGGTGCTTCCAAGCTAGATAAGAGACTTCATAGAGCAGGACCTGGGGGTTTTACTGGTTTTTGCCACGTCTCAGATCACGGGCATGTAGCCTGTGTCCTTTTCCAGAAGTGTCCAAGCCCTGGGGTGATAGAAGAGTAAGGTAAACAAGCCCAGAGGCCCATGGAAACCAGGGTCCTACTTCTTGCAGGGGCAAAGGTCTTGGGTGGGGCTTATTGGGGCTAGGCTGGGCAGGGCTGGGAGTGCCTGGCCAGAGGGCCCAGCTGGTGCTGGGTGGGGGCTGCTTGAAGGAAGTTTGTGGAGCCCAGGTCCATTTCAGTGGACTGCTGGCTGCTAGTTTCCTGGTTAGTGGCTTTGGGCTAGAAGGTAGACAGAACCTCCAGGCAGTGTGGTTGGGCTTAGTAAGGGACTGAGGTCAGGTCTTATTGGCCAGAGAGTGGGCCCCCTGCTAGTTGTGCCCGGGTGGGTTGCTGTGAGCTCTATCTCTTGCTAGCTGTGAGGCTGGGGAAAGTCACATCTCCTCTTTTAGTCTCAGTTTCCACTGTAAAATGAGGAAACTGATGTCTACATGACCCATCTCACAGGGTTGTGATAAGAATGTAGGTAATGTAAGTGTATTGTAAACCAGAAAACAACCAGGGCGGGTCATGAAAATGTGCAGAGAAACTGTGTGGAGAAAGTGTGAGGTTTAGTTAGACGGACCTGAATTTGAGCCTGTCTCTATTCTCACCAGTCATGTGACTTTGAGCAAGTCCTTTTCTACCCTGAGCCTCAGTTTTCTCACCTGTGCAGAAGGCTTTGTTTTGATTTGCTCAGGTCAGGGGAGTGGGCAGGAAGAGGTGCCTTGCTCCTGAGTCTGAGTGAGGTGGGCCTGCTGGGTAGGGCTGTGAGGAGATGAGAATAGAAAGCTTCATGACCAGGGGCCAAACTTCAGGGACTCTGCAAATAGAACTTTGGCTCTGGGCAAAACAGCTCCTATCAGCTTTTTGCTTGTATCTACCATGGTTCTTACAACCCTATAATAAAAAGACAAATAATCTAATTAGAAAACCGTGAGAGGATCTGAATAGATATTCAGAATAGGCAAAAGAGATATACAAATAGCCAAAAAGCACATGAAAAAGTGTTCTACACCATTAGTCATTAGAGAAATGCAAAGCAAAACCACGCAGAGATACCATTTCTCACCCATGAGGATAAGAATCGAAAAGAGAATATGGAGAAATTGGAATCCTCTTATGTGGTGGTAGGAATGTAAAACGTTGCAGCTGCTTTTGAAAACAGTCTGGTCTACGGCCATGCCACCCTGAACGTGCCCGATGTCGTCTGATCTCTGAAGCTAAGCAGGGTCGGGCCTGGTTAGTACTTGGAATATTATTTAGCCATAGAAAGGAATAAACTTCTGATACATATAACGACATTGATGAACCTCAAAAATATTATGGTTTTGGGCAGCCCTCGCTGCCACACCACCTCCCGAGAGAAGATTTCAATACTGAGGCCCAGAGAGAAGAGATATGACTGAGGTCACAGGACTAGTTAGCCTCTGAAACAATACTGACCCTTTTGACACGTAATCCAAGATCTTTTCAACTACTCCAGACTGCCTTCCATTATTCAGACCCTTTAAAAACAGCAATGTTTGAAATACCTTCAAAATGGCCTCCCACAACACAATCCTCAAAGGGGGAAGCAAAGTTCTGCATCTTAAACCTTCCTTAGTTTCTTAGGTTCTGTAGTTGTTTATTTTGGTTACTAAGCAACCACCTCTTTATAATTCCATGTCTACTCACAGAAACTGGGGGTTCAATCAGGGTATCTTCAACTACTTATTAAATTTATTCCTTTGTAAGTTGAGCTTTGAGAAATTGCACTAAATGGATTTCTTAGTCATACTTTGAAAAATAAACCTCCAAGTCTATGCAACTCCCTCCCCTCAAAAATATTATGGTTAGGGAGAGAGACCATTTGCAAAGGATGACACATTGTATGATTCCATTTATAAAAACTATACATAGTAGGAAAATCTCAGTTATTTGGGGAGATTTTGTAGATCCCTCAGGATTTTCTACATAGGCAATCATGTTATCTGCAGATAGGGATAGATTTATTACTTTCTTTTGGATCTGTATACCTTCTATTTCCTTTTTTTTTGCCTTATTGCACTGGCTAGAAATACTAGCACTCGTTGAATAAGAGTGATGAGAGCAGCCATCCTCTCTTTGTTCCTGATCTTAGAGCACATTTCACCATTGTGTATAACATTATCGGTTGAGTATAATGTCACAACTGAAATAATTATGCGATTTTTCTTCTTTAGCTTGTTCATGAGGTAGATTACTTTAGTTGGTTTTTGAATATTGAGCCAGTCTTGCCTGGAATAAACCCCACCTCGTCATGGTGTATAATTCTTATTTATATATTGTTGAATTCTATTTGCTAATATTTTGTTAAGAATTTCTGAGTTTATATTCATGAGAGATATTGGTCTAAAATTTTCTATTTTTATATTGTATTTGTCTGGTTTCAGTATTAGGGTAATGTTAAACCAAATAAATTGAGAAATGTTCCTTCCTCTTCTATTTTTTGGAAGAGATTGTATAAAAATGGTATTAATTCTTGTTTAAAATTTAGTAGATGTGATAGTTAATTTTATGCGTCAACTTAACTCAGCCCAGATAACAAGTAAATATTATTTCTGGGAATGTCTGTGAGGGTGTTTCTGGAAGAGATTAGTATTTGAATTGGTAGATTGAGTAAAAAAATTATTCACCAGTGGGCATCATCCAATTTATTGGGGACCTGAATGGAACTAAAAGAGGGGCAAATTGCCCCTCTCCCTTCTTGAGCTGACATCCATCTTTTCCTGCCCTGAGACATTCACGCTCCTGGTTCTCAGGCCTTTAGATTCAAACCGAACTATACCACCAGCTTTCCTGGTTCTCCAACTTGCAGATAACAGACTGTGGGACTTCCCTGCCTCCATAACCATGTGAGCCAATTCCTATAATAAACCAAACTGCCTTTATCTATGTCTATATCTATTTATATCTCTATCTCTATCTATCTATCTATCTATCTATCTATCTATCTATCTATATCCTATTAGTTCTGTTTCTCTGGATAACCCTATTTTTGAGTGCATAACTTTGTATAGCAATTTAAATTGTTCTGGATATTACATTATATGTATATAACTTATCACAGTCTATTGGTGTCATCTTTCACTAGTTCCAGTGAAGTATAGAAACCTTACCTCCCTTTATGTTTTTTACCCTCTCCCACTTATAATCTATCTTAAATATTTCCTCTCTGTATATTTAGAATCACATCAGACAGTAATTTTTTAAAATTATAATTTTTGCTTCAACTGTCAAACATAATTTAGAAAACTCTAGAGAAGGAAAACCTATTGTGTAATATATATTTATATATGTTTATCTATATATAAATATATCATTTATATATTTTAATTGGTTGAGTTTGGCTATTATTTAAGTATAAAAACAATGCCTATTTATCTGGGAAAATCAAAATGGAAAAGAACATTAGAAAAATTATAATCCTATCCA